GGCAGCGCCCTGCCCTGTGCCCGTGTGCGCTCCAGCCAGCACCCTTTTGCGCTCCTTTCGAAGTGGCAGGGCTTACACAGCTAGCACCAGCCAGAATGACTGGTCTGGATGCGTGCACTTTCCTGTATGGAAAGTGTGCGGCCTGCCGTGCTCCCTTGAGCCACGTGTCCTGGCCCAGGGTCTGCACGTCCAGGACCTTCTGAAAAGTGCCCGTGGGACCGACAGTTACGGTCCCACAACTGTGTGACGTGGCTGCTACTGTTTCGGGCGTTCTCATTGGCTGAAGGTGCTGGTGTGACATGTCAGCCTTCTGTTGCACGCTGAGAAAAGCAGGGCTGGTCAGCCATAATAAAAAAAACAGAGTTTGTTCCTGGCTCAGAATGAACACTAGCGATATGCTTAACACATGCAAGTCGGACGGTGCTGAAAACAAAGTGGCGAACGGGTGCGTAACATGGGAATCTACCAAAAATGCCCGCCAGGCTCAGGAAAACCCGGTCCCGCGGCCATGGAGCCCGCTGTAAAATTTGGGGGCGCAACTGTAAGCCTTTGGGGCCCTTGTGAGGGGCGTATTCCTCACATTGTGTCCTCCACGAGAGTAAAGCCTTGCATAATTTGCTCTTATTCTACATGAACTGTGTGAACTGTGTCCTCTCTTGCAATTTTTTGATTTTTTTTTGTCTGTCTGGACTCGAAAGCTTAAGAGTCATCCAATCAACTGCTTCTCTTTCGAGTTTTTTTTCTGGACTGTAAAGTGAGTGTTTAGTATGTGGACTTAGTGTTTGGTGCAAACTTGTCTGACTGAGTTTTCAACCTGTCTCGAGATGGTGACATGCAGGCCAGGAGCTGGGAAAAGTATGTGCTTGTGCCACGACCTGAGAGGCTGATTGCCGCTGGTGAAGTAATGGATAGAAGGAAGCTACCCCTCCAAGTATGCAACGACTGTTCTAGCAGTTCTTTATCTGAAGTTTGGGAATACGACTCTTCTCCTCGTTGTGTTGGCGACTGGCTTGCAGCGCTAGAACTGAGAATGTAGCCTTCCAGGGAGAGTGAGACAATCTTCAGCAGCAGCAGCATCACGAGAAGGTGGAGAAGGTGGAGGAGGAGGAAGAGGAGGACGACGATGGTGGAGACATTGGACTGGGTTTAATCACACAGTTTGCAGTACTTAAGTATTATGAGAGTGGGATATTGTCAGGAATGCCTGACAGGCAGTGGATTGGATCACTACTCGGACGCTGTGGTTCAGTGGTATGGGACAGCATTGGTGGGGCATCATCAGTTTAACAGAAAACTCAGTTAGGGTGATACTTGTCTCTCAGACCGAGGTTAATTCATGAATGTAAGTTAGCATTCTGTGTATTTTCCAGAGTAGGCTAGACAAACACTCTGCATCAGCTGCCCGTTCCAAGAAGGAACGATGAGTTCTTTTTCTCATTCCATGAGAGAACACGAAAAGGTTCTTGCATGCGTCAGAAAATTCCTGTCTCAACATCTCTGGCCACTGAAGCAACGTGCAGAGAAGGACGTCTTGCTGTGTAAGACAGGCACACAGCGGTCTTTTGAGGAAGTTGGTAGTTCTGAACTCTGAAGCAAGGCAGCGCAGAGGTAGAAGTGCGTCCACACATAACACACACGCAAGCAGACACGCACACACACACACACACACACACACACACACACGGAGAGANAGAGAGAGAGAGAGAGAGAGAGAGAGAGAGAGAGAGAGAGAGAGAGAGGAACAAACTTAGAGTCGGTTCAGCAACAGGGTGAGGTTGTTTCTTGGAGGTATGGCAGACTTCGCGAACATCACGTCGCTGGTGATGCAGCAAGCACAAAATGTAACTGAGATGAATGAATACCTGATCGCCAGCAGAACCACAGGATTCCACCTATGGAGGCTGCAGAATGCGTTGTTTGTGTTCTTGATGCAGGTGAGGAGAGCATATTCATACTTCTAGAGAAAGCTGAGCACATTCTGAGACATTTAGAGACTTGATTACAGGCACAGACACCTGTAGTTATATGGAGCTCTTCCTCTGACAGACACCCTGAGATATCTGTAGAAGTTACCATGCCATATTTGTTTGCTAATCTCCCTTTCATTGTTTGGTGTCCTTTTTCTTGAACATTTGTCACATGGGAAACAGCTACTGAAGAATAGAAGTTGCAAAACGATGAGTGCTGTTTGTTGTCTTTATTTTTTGGACATTTGTCACACGGGAAACAGATAGTTAAGAATAGAAGTTGCAAAACAAGAGTGATGTTTGTCAATTGGTGTAGTGATCCTCTGTGGTGATGTTTCTTCTCTTAATTGTGATACTACTGGTGGCTGTCAGATGTTCAGATGCTGTATCGTCAATATGAGAATACCCTAGCATTGCAGGATGTGAGTCAACCCTGGGGCTCAGCTCCGTTGTTCGCATTGAGATCAGTCAAAACTGCACATGAGCTTGCTTCTATTGCTTTGTCCTCCTGTTCTTCTTCTTCTTCGTCTACTACTACTACTACTACTACTACTACTACTACTACTACTACTACTACTACTACTAAGTTCTAACTACTATACTACTGCTATGTGCGCATGCCGTATTAAACCACCAGTCTGTCTCCCAGCTATTGTGTTCCGACACGGTAGATAACGTGCCGTAAGGTCGCGGTTCGGGCCTACAGGACGGAAAAGGCTGCTGTTGCAGGCAATTTCTCATCCATGCCAGTTCTTTTTTATCTGGCACACGGCAGAAATCGGCATTGGAGGAAAAAGCCTTGGATGGACTGATGGTTCAAGCTCTCCGCTGTCATTGTCTTTCGTGTCTTTCTGATTTAAAGTCTGACGTTTGAAGGACCTGTATTAGAATCTGCACTGATGCCGAAGGATGACAAGACTACGATAATTCATGTTTACGGCTTCTTTTGCTGTTGAAAATATTCGTTGGAGTTGCATTTGGTGTTCAATTTTGTCTGGGTCGTAATATTGGAACCTACAATTATCAGATATATCGTTTCTGATGCTTGTGCTCGTTGTCTAACCTGCCGTCTCCAACATGAAGGTTGGGTTTGCTCTCTTGGAGGCGGGAAATGTTCGATCTAAGAACACAAGGAATATTATGCTGAAGAATGTCCTTGATGCTTGCCTATCGGCGGTCGCGTTCTGGAGTGTTGGATGGGCTCTTGCATATGGAGAGGGAAGTGCCATTCTTGGATGGAGGCATCCAGATGACCATGCTGTTGCATTTTTCAACGCAAGAGATCCAGTGGGGTGGTTCTTCTCGTGGACCTTTGCAGCAACATCATGCACAATTGTCAGTGGTGCTGTGGCAGAGAGAACCCAGTTCAATGCATACATGGTTTACAGGTTTGGAATGCCCTCCCTTTGACCTTGAGCTGTTGTGTGCCCTCCTCTTTTTTTCTGTTTCTTCTTTGTCGTCGTTGTTTCGCTTCAGACATCATGTAGATCCAACCAAAGACAGGTGGTTCACCATAGAAGAATTGGTCAAGCGTGCGCCCCAAGTGGTTTTGAATTTTGAGGTCTCTCAAAGGGAAGCAACGGCAAGCATAAGGGTTCTCGGAGGACTTGAGGGGGTGGGAATGTGAGGCTCCAGGCCTACCCGGTAGGCCCTGTCGGGATACGATGCGGACAGGTGCCTGAGTTGGGAGCCAGGCCTGTAGGGGGACTTCCTACCAGAGGGTCCAGACCTCAGCCTGAGCAGAGAACAAAGGGAGAGAAGGCAGGGGCACACACATAGTTGGCAGCAAGCAGTTTCATGTGTGAGGGTTGGCAGAGCGCCGCAGCGTGTGATCGCAAGGCAGAGCGGTGTGTGGTGGCTGCATTGCACATGGGTCATAGCTGGAAGCTGGCGCAGTGCAGGAATGAGATGTCAGGTGGTCAGTGTAGTGGCAGTAGGAACTTCAGTGGCAGCTGGCGAGAGGTGGGTGGAGAGAGAGTCAGGGGTAGTAGGCTAGCGTGTGTAGGCGAGTAGGAGAGGAGTATGGGTGGGCACATTATAGCTAGGGCTACTACTTTGTTGTTATATTGATTGTTGGAGGCACAAAGAGCACTTCCTTTGTCAAAAGACTTTAGTGTTCAATGTGTGCATGGATTGGTGTGCTCTCGGCGTTTTCATTCTGCTTTCAACTCGGCTTACTCATGTTTGGTCGTCAATGAGCTCTTGGATCTTGGATCTCGGTGTTCACACTTGTCGGCACTTTGCACTACAGGAGTAAGCCTGGTAGCATGACTAGGGCAGAACAGTCATGATAGACTTGCAAAAGAACGGTTTACTCACATAGCAGCTCTTTTTCAACACGGGCGCTTTGATCCGGATTAAGCGACCCACATTGTAGAGTCTGTGCTATCCCTACCTATTAAAATAGCTAAGGTACCCAAGAGCCTAGCTCGGTGGGTACACCCATGAACTGTTGAAATACAGACCTGTGTTCAAATCCAGATGATGGAACTTGATGAATAAAACCAACTACAAATGAATTGCCTGGGCCCGGTCAGCTCAATGATAATATCTCAAGGCCATGGCCCTTTAAAATCGACTTTTTCGTCGGGTCCTACCGGATCGACGGGCCGAAGGTCACGCGTCAATCCAGGCCGTTGGCCCGGTACCTTGGGCCCGACGGCCTCGATTGATCAGGCAGGACCCGATCGAGGCCTTTCGCTGGGAACAGGTTTGCCCGGTGGAGCGGGCCGTTTCTGTGCACGGGCTTCCCAACGGGCAAAGTGGTTCCCGTAGGAGGCTACCCTTCTGGGTGGCACGGGAAAATCCTACGCACGGCGGCGTGCGCGTTTTCGGTGGCGGCACGGGCAAATTCCACGGCATGGGAAAAATTGGACCCTACGCTACTCTAAGCTCGACTTAGACTTAAGTACTTCACTCTGCACTCCCACGGTCGACTTCGACTTTACTACTACACTCTACACTACGACGCTCGAGTGCGACTTCAAATGTGTCTAGCACACACACACACACACACACACGACGTGGTGAGACTGTCGGGGTTCAACCTCCTGATGAGTCGGTGGAAGTCCGACGAAACAGTTTGGCTTAGTTGTGCTCTTTTTATGGAGTTGTGTATAGCGAACATAACGACAGAGACACATACACAAACACACCCACAGAGAGAGAGAGAGAGAGAGAGAGAGAGAGAGAGAGAGAGAGAGAGAGAGAGATGGGACACGTCTTGCAGCAAGAACTATTAGGCTTGA